CAAGCTGATAAGTCTCCAGGATCCCAAACAATGAGATAGTCTATCTGCCCTGCGGTCCTCAATTTTGTCACTATTGTATGTCAAATGTTACTTCTTAAAGGTTAATTTCTACTTCAGAAATAGTCTGATTTTTTTGCTTTTAAATTGAATTAAAGTTTGCTAAATTATCTCAAATTGAACTCTCTGATAACTATAAATACCAAAAAATGCATGCTTAAGTTTGTTGTCACTAAATAGATAGTATGTACACTAATAAGGTCAAGTGCAAAAGCTAACATCCCAATACACATGTTGAGAACAACATAAGATAATATAACAGACATGTTATATTATTAAACATTATTATTAAACATGTTTCAATCCTGTTGTCCTACAAGATTGTCATAGACGCTATCATTTGATGCAGATGAATAGAAACAACAGCCTGACTGAGCACATGAAACCAAGCATTCAACCACTGTGTGTATTAACTCATCTTTTCTATTATTCTGATTATTCTGCCTAAGATCCTGGTGTAATTAGCTGGATAACAAATCCACATTTTCCACAGTCTGCCTGTGCATCGATTCTGTTATTTTCACCAGCTGACAAGTTAAAAAGAAGGTGTATGGGTGCGGAACATGTATATGATCTGATTATGACCAAATGTATGTCTGACACACTACTGTTGGTCAGCCACTCTTAGACCAAACTAAGAATGCTGGTTCATTTTTATAAAATTTAGTGTTAGGACAGTATATTTAATAAAAAATTTAGCATTAACAGTCTTCATAAAATGATGCCTTCTGGTTTGGTTGATTGGCTCACGTTTCCTCTAGCACCACAACAAGGTTGACATTTTGACAGAGCTCAACCATCCCACAGGAGGAATTGCAATAACTTTTGTAAACACTGTCTGGTGTCTTCAAATCAAACTTGTTTTTGTCTTATTCTTTGACTGCAGACATCATGATATTCTCATTAACCTCAGCTGTACTTAATATGCATTAGTAAATGTTAGCATGCTGACTCACTAAACTAAAATGTGAGCATGGTAAATGTTACACCTGCACATCAGCATGAACATTTAGCTCAACGCACCATTGTTCTGAAGTGCAGCCTCCTAATGCTGCTAGCACGTGCTAGATTCAAAACACGCAAAAGAAAAAAGAAGATTAACTGAATATATATAATATTAAACTACATGACATCACATTAATGAATGTGTGTTAACCTTCATAAATATAATGTGACCTTGTCCTTATTCTGAAGCAACTCTGCTGTGAACTCACATACTTCCTAATTTCCTATCACATGGAATGAAAATGAAGATTGAAAAGTGCTCACGGGACATGTGACCTTTATAGCAAAATGACTCCATCATTTCTAATTTCATAACTTGTCTCTGGGACTGACGTAGTAGGTGTAGTTAGGTAGATAATATATGGCTGTCTGTAATTACAGATAACAGAACATTAAGTTCAACAGATACATGTAAGCTTCTTGATGAGTGTGCCCATTTCAATTAGGGAGCATTAAATGAAACAAAAAACCTTATGGGAGTTTTTCACTGCCAGACCCAAGGAGAATTAATACACTGCATAGGGCCATTTACCAGGGAGTAATTACTCCCTAATTATCCATTAGTTATTCGATTACCCTTTTATCAGCTAGTCATGGACAAAAGGCAGGAATAGCAGGTAAGTCATCACCTTGGTTGGTAACAGATGTAATTAACATGCCGTAGCTCCTCAGAGGGAGACAACGAGAGAGTGCACTCAGGCAAAGTGAAGGTATTCTGGCCCGCTTCATGTGTTTGATCAAAAGGAACAACAAATTAGCTTTTTAAAATTCATCCAGGGGTGGTTTGCTGCAAATAGCAGAAAAAAGGAGGGTGTAAATTAATTTTCCTGCCCACATTTTCCCAGCTGCTTTGCAGATCCAAGTCCAAAGCTGCAGCAAACCTAAACCAGTTAGTCCTTAAACGTGCTCTGGTTGGTGAAAATAAAAGCAAAAGGCTATGTGAATGTACTCTGGGCACTCATTATTAGCAAAATGAATGGCTCTGTGATTGAGACTTGATAACAAATCAGAAAAAATTCTATGAGAAGATGGATGATTAGGTGCATATTGTTGCTGGATGAAACCACCATTAACAGACGAGCCAAAAACCATAAATACTCCATGCCAAACTGCTTCTACCATTTATTACACGTAATTACATTCTTAAATAAAAACAATTCACTGAACAGTTCCTTGCATAGAGATATTACAATACCAATTTAAAAAAGGAATTATGAAACAAACCAGTAACAAAAATAAATCTTTCTCATATTTCCATAATAAAGAACATTATCGTACCAATACATCAGAATATACAAATGATAAATTTGAAACACTTTGTACAGCAAAAGAAAAGCAGAAAGACAACGGAGGAATAAGGTGAAGAGGGGGCACAAGGAGGAGAAAGGGGTGGAGGGGAGTCGGACAGAGGAGTTGAAAGGGATCATATTTGAGAAAACGGAAAGGGAGAGAGGGAGGAGAGGGTGGAGGAAGCGATGGGGGAATGCTGGTAGAAAAAGGGGGTGTGTTTGATTTGAAATTCAGACCTGGTGGAAACAGAGGTGGTGTCGCACATAGTAATGCGTAACCCCCCACCCCCCACTGAGAGCAAGACCTGCAGTCTGGATCTCTGATTCTCACAAGGTGGCATAAAAACAGTGAAAAACACACAAGGAGAACAAAGAATGAGTATGACTGTGTATTTGTGAGTATGTTCAGGTGTGTTTCAGGATGTGCTGGTGCTTATATGCGTATGTTTTCTGCATGCAACTGGATGCATGAGTGTCTGCATGCATGTAGTTTGTGTTTTGCATGTCTGCAATGTGTATGAATCCATGTAGCATTTATACATGAGTGTGTACATTTGTGCTAAAAACAGCTACTATACAGACTTTGTGATCCGTGTTTCATCACAGAGGGTTGTGTGTGAAGTGTATACATGAAAACATCAGATATGCAAGTGATTTTTCTCCCCAAAATTCAGAGTGCTAATACAAACAGACACACAGGCACAGCAGAAGAGACAATCATTCATTAGGATGACACAGAACTGAACCAAATCCTCAGAGACAACATGAAACAACCTTTTCTAGAAAACACATTCACATTTGAAACCCCACTTTTCGAGCTGCTGACGTACACGAGAGCAATTCTGTTTATGTCAAGTCACAAGAAGAGTCGGACCAAATTTTAAACTGTTCTGTAACTGGGATATTTCCATGTCTCAGCTCCTAAAAGTCTCCGTAAACATGAAAAACAAGAACACATTCAATGTTTTAGTCCAATATCCTCAGCTGTCTCTGACTGGTACAAAATATGAACAAGTGCAAAAACAAAACAACAATGATTCCAAGCTGCACATTCCCACACATTCTCAACAACTCAGTTCAACAGGAGAATGTCCCGCTGAAATACTGAAACAGACAAGGAGAGCTGCCATTGATGATACAAATTTAAACCATGGGTTAAACATTGAGAGTCAGGCTAAGCAGGAAAAACACAAACCTGCAAACCTGCTCCAATATTACCAACCAAACTGGTTGCTTTTAGCTCTACGAACCAAACCTGTGCTGTTTGTCAGTAACTATGACTTTCATTAATGCCAGTGCCTGGCAGCGCTGATAGTTTACACTCTAACCTGTGAACATTGTTAGTCACCTTAAAAATAAACCAGCAGTTAGAATTGATATTGGTTGGTTTCTATTGTGGTCAGTCCCTCCTGTCTCTGCATGTAGAGCCCCGTCACTTCAAACTAAAATGGAGCCTGGCTTGTTTGCACATTAAAAAGAAAGAAAGAGTGCACTATTTATGCAAAGCAGGGGTTGATTCAGTATCTATTTCCAGAGACGCAGACAGATCATGTCAAGATATGAAGGAGCTGGGTTATATTTATATGCAAAATTGAAATATGTCTCTGGTATACAGAATGAAATCAGTTTTGTGTCTCCCTTGCTAAGAAGCAAACTGCTGTTTGACTCAACTTGCACCACCGTATTAAAAAACTTACAAAGTGAGGAATTAATGGCTTGATATAAATGCTCCCAATAAAGTTCACTGGTATCTTGACAATATCCTTTTTTCTTTTGGATTGGATTTGTGTGGACCTCAGCCCTTGTTCACCAAAAACCGATCTGTGCATTAAAGACATGCCATATTTAGTGTAATTTGGGAAAAGATCCAGATTTTATACATCTTTCTTCTACTGGACAAAAGTCAGCTCACCAAGGACAAACGTTATCCAGGTTGCTACTTGTGCATGTACAGCATGTGTCTCTGTGTGCATGTGGGTTTCACTCCACTCCACTGTAGGTTCATGAGCTTATGGGGCAGTTATCACTGCTGACTGAGCAGAACCATCCCTTTTATCCCACTTCAGCTACCCAGTGTAAATCTGCACTCACAACCTCCCACTGTAAAATATCAATAGCTACCAGCCATGACTAACTAGTCAAATCCAGCCATTCACTTCTAACATGGAAAAGAGAAACTATGAACACAAATGGTGTATGGTATGATCTTACCAACCACACTCAAGTGTTGTCATGGGTCCAGCAACATATACACACTTACAACAGATACATTCACATTTATTTGCCACCCAACTGATTGAATTTGTGTCATAAGTCTTCCTACAAGTGGAAATCTGCATTCAGACATGTGTGATCCGGAAGTCAGCAGGA